CAGTTCAATCTTTCTTCACTATTTTTAATTTTGATTCAATGTGTGATTTCTCTAAAATACCGGAGCCCGGTAAAGATTCTTTTAAAGCTTGTTCAAAAATATATTAAATAACCCGATTTAAAACCATTATCAGCTTTAAATGCTCCCGTATTCACCATGGTAACTAAAGCTTCAACAAGTTTTGTTTCTTCAATATTCGTCCATACTTGATAATTTCTAATTTGACTCATCATACCTTTAAACATAAATGAATCATTTGAAGTACAACAACATTTAATTATCCATGTCCAAGGTCCATAATTTCTATTATAAACAAACATTAGATTTAAACAAACATTAGAAGTATGAGTTAAACAAACATTTGAATCATAAATATTAATTGGTAGCATTCCAAGAAGCAAACATAGATTGTGCTAAATCATCCCTAAATGCACTCCACTCATTTGAAGTACCAACAACATTTATATTATCCTTGTTTCGACTCCAGGGTCTCCGATTCCCTCATCCACCTCACCTTCATTGTCAAGTAGATCTTCATTGTCAAATGGATCTACTGGCATTTCTTGCATTATAAAATTGTGGAGGAGACAACATGCAATGATGATCCTAACTTTTCAATCAATAGGATAATATGAGTTATCTCTTAAGATTCCCCACCTTGTCTTTAACATACTGAAACATCGTTTAATAACATTTCTCGTCGATGAATGCTTCATATCGAAAAATTCTTTGGCAGTGGTTGGTTTGTGTCCATCACGACAATCATTTAAATGACATCTTTGCCCCCTATAAGGAGCTAAGAAACCCTCTTCATTTGTGTATCCGACATCAACCAAGTAATAACCTAATAATAAATTAAGTTAATAAACCATCAAAACTTATACTTGTTAATATCTAGTAAACTATCAAAAACTATACCAGGTCTTGGATCTTTTTAATCCATGAGGCCTAAGAAGAGAATCTCTCGAAGCACTCGACCATCAACAACCACCCCTCCCATCCCGGTAACACATATATAAATTGCATATCTTGTGAGCACACCCCTAGCACGTTTGTCGCAATATCATTCTTTCTTGTTCTATATCTAGGTTTATCTTCTTGTGGAATTAAACATTTTAGATAGGTTCCATCTAAAGCTCCTACACAATTCTAGAACCAAGAAAAAAGGATCATTATTTTCATAATAATTAGACTTATTTACAAATAAGTAAATTTAAAAGTGGAAATACCTTAAACCATTTCCATTTTTGATCAGTAGAGTTATCAAGAACGGGTTCGGGTTTCTTAAGCAATCGTGGATGTAACCTTATTACGGCATTGTAAACTCGAGCAACAACTCTACTAATTGTTTCTCCGAACGATGAAAAACGACATATCATAACCCGATTCTTAACATTGTGAGCAATAATATGAAGAAAAATGGAACTTGTTCTTCAATATTCATAAACCTAGTTGTTCTTAACCCTCTGTATGTTTCAACCATGTTACATAACTTTTTTCTGTCATCCTAATTTGCGATATAGACATAGTGTCACTATCATAAATATACCTATGCATTATTGAGGATCGATCGACATTTGAAGAAGAGTATAGAGTATCCAATTTGTTGTTTATCCCTTTGTCTTTTAACCATAATCATCCAAAGCGACATAACAAAGAATACAACAACATGGACAACTATGTTAAACCGTTCCAGCGACTCTTGTCTCCTTTGCCTATGTAAACGTCTTGTTAAACTAAGTCGGTCCCTTTCCTGTCCAATTTACTCAAATTGTTAAACATATATTTAAATTACTCAATTACTCGATCTTAATAGAGTATAACTACTTAATTAAACAGAAATTACAACTATTGGATCACATGTAGAAGAGAATGGAGTAAAATTGCTTCAACATCCACGTCCTAATCAAATTCATATTGATAAGCCACAGAATATAACAACAATTGTACAAGGAGGAATTAGTAGCTAATCATGTAAGAAGCAAGTAATGAGTGATATAAATAAGTATTTGAAAATGGGAGCACTTCACTTCATGACTTGCCAGTTATCCATTAATATCAAGTGTATAAGAATCAAGAAACTTTGGGCCAATTTTGCATAATGACAAAGAAAGGTTAGGAAGAAAATAAAAAGATACCAAGTATGTGTATACTAACAATGAAAGGAAAGAGCATTTGAACACCCAAGAAAAAGTATAAATTTGAGTAGAAGTAATGATCTTTCTCTCTTTCTTATATGCATCATGTTCTTCATCAAAACCACCATTTTTCTTCCGATTTATAGTTTCATTAACTATCTCCCATTTCTCAATCATGGGCGGGATTGAAATATTCAAAAAGTTCACCAAACCACACTTACAATTAGACATATTTGGATAAGAGTTTTCATCAAAACAGTTTCTCAGGCAAAACTATTTACGAATTAAGTCAAAAACCTGAAGTTCACAACACTAAATTGCAAAACCTTCAATCCAAAATAAAGCAAAATTAACAGACCAAAAAGATCCATAAGCTTTCTCAAACATCCAACAATTAGAACCCCACAACCAAAATCTTTATCAGAACTCCAAAAAACTAAAAATCGAGTCAAAATCCATGAAGAAATTCCAAAAAAAAAAATTAAAGTATATCCTTTTATAGGAAACAAGAACACCGTACAATAAAGTAGTTCATCATTTCCTTGAACAGAACCTGAAAGCGAGAAGATCGATAAGAAAAATAGTGAGAGGGGAAAATAAAGTTTTGCTATTTTATCTGCTGAGGGATGAGGGAAGACGGCGATCCTGGCAAGCGGAGGAGGGGGTAGGGACGACGAGGAGAGAGGAACGACAAGGAGAGAACCAAAGAGAGCAGGGACGATGAGGAGAGAGGGACGACAAGGAGAGTACTGGAGAGAGTAAGGATGAAGAGGAGATGCGGTAAGCGGTGGTGAAGCGAGGCGTCTAAAATTAGGGCGCAGGAACCGTTTTATGAAATCCGACCAGATTTGGATTTAAAATCCCACCCATTTCCAAAGGATTTCCAAATCCATCAGCTACGGGATTTCAAAGGAATATTTGGATTTCAAATCCTGACAATTTGGCAAACCAAACACGGGATTGTAATGGTTTTCAAATCCAAATCTCTCGATTCCATTTCATTCTTGCAAACCAAATGCATCGTTAGAGTATTGATCTTTTCAAGATCAGAAGAGAGTTGCATGCATAATCCCAAAACGTTCGTTTGCGACTACTTTTAGAAAAAGTTTTGGCATTATGCTTGGAATGTGTTATAATACGTTGAACTAGGCCTCTTAAATTACTCTTCAAAAGGCATGTTAAGGGAAAAAAATAAATTTAACATATATAGAAGAAAAATAGTTCAAGACTAACCAATGTGAGATTCAAACGGTATGAAACCTTCACATTCTCTACAATTAATCCCATTGTTGTTTCTTGAATTTTTTGCCCTCATCTTTTAGTGGCGTGCCCATGATTTTTACTGAGCGGCTGCATTTTTAAGGTGGATCAAAGGCCCGGCAAAATTGTCCGATGTGTTTTTAGTCTAATTCCACTCCCGATGTGTTTTTAGTCTAATTCCACTGCTTCAAGTGATTTTGTAAGTTTTTTTGGTGGATTCGAGGGACTTTGTTAAAGTTTTTTGGTTAATAGGTTTATTGTGTTTTCTAATGTACACCTCAAAGTTTAATGTGTACACCCTTTCATACCTTAAAAAAGATTCTACATTTAAAAATCAATTTGACATATACATTGAACCTCATTATGGCCCTCGTAGGTCCGGCCTGCTCTTCTTTGTCTTCCTCTTTTGTTTTCCCTTGAAGTTCCACTTCCTTGATGCATGGAAAAGTTTTCCGTTACCCTGATGAATTTTGTTAGTATGACATACATGATACACCAGTTGTAAGATTGTGGAACCTCGTTATAAATTTATGTCATTACATTGTTGCTCTATTTACTTGATATTATTTTCGTGACATAGTATATCGTTTGTGATCGAATTTTATTTGTGTTTCGGTTCTTGAACCTTTTACACACGTTTAGGATTTTGGGGCACTTTAATTTTATGTTTGCTTTGGAAAAATTATTATAAAAGACCGATATCCAAACCTTCAACACGTATTTTTCTTTGATGGTGTCACCAAATTTATTTTATCAATATCTTTAGTAAAAGGCGAAAGAATAGTTCGCTTGTAACACCTATAAGGTTTTTTTGCAATACCTAAATAGTTTATTTTAATTTTTTTTTTCAGACGCCATTACCAATTAAATAAGAAGTGAAAGGATCCGAACTTCCAACCTATAATACCAATACAATGACCTTACAAGTAAACTGCAATCAACTTATGTTAACTTTTGGGAACTCACATGAACTTAAAGCACATGCACTTTAGTACCTCAAAACAAATTCTATTGTGTCAACATGATAGAGTAAGTACATGTGCATGCTCTCTTCTCTTCTTAAATTAGCGTCCATGCTTGACCGCCGCACATCGATTACTCCCATGAACCTTGAAGTTATCAGTTACTTAGGAGAGACTCAAATTTGTGCCCAATAGTTCCAAGCTAAAATAACAAAGAAACAAGTTTAGATACCGTCTTGAAAGTAATTTAAGGGTTGTTTGCTAAACACTTCTCTTATCGGGTAACTAAACACTTGTTGCCACTTGTCAGGTAAAAGACGCTTACCCACTCATAAATTATGGTATTTACCAACAATCTTTTTGTGCCATTTTGCAAACCGGCTAACCAAGAATCTTATCCAATTAGTGAGGAAGTGAGAATGATGACTCTTATGCAGTTAACACTTATCGGATGAGAGACACTTATGTTATATTGATAACCGGATCGCGTAATGTAATCAAGATTGTGATGATTCTTACACAATTAAGGCTTAATGGGTAAGAGACACTTATTCTCTCCTATTATGATTACCGATAATTTTATCATATAAGGTAAGTGACAATGGTACCGACGATTGTAGTGGTTAATTGGCCCTTACTCAACTCAAAACCAATATATTAGACCAGCCTTTGTGATAAAAATTTGATGCCATTGCACTTTACAAACCCACAAACCAAAGTTGGTAACTTTGACATGAAACAACCAGAAAAAAAAGATCAAAACCTGCAAAATTGGGGTAGGAAGATCATCTTCTAATGACCAATCCCCAAATCATATTAGTTCGAACAACCCTTATATTAGTACAATTTACAAGTGTTACAGTAATTCTGTTGGTCTTGAAACCGAGGCCCTGATTTTAGAACAGCTATTGCCTTCAATTAACAACGAAGAAGAACTGAACCCCATCATACCAGTCCCCAAATTGAACTCCAAAATATGATCTTCCAGTTGATACCCTCCAAGAACCACTGAATCATTCAGATCCAAACCCCCATCCACAAAACCCAAACACATTACTGAATCACTCACTTGTACCATCGAATTCCTTCCTTGAATCAACCACTTCACCAGTTCACTCTGCAACACCAGCTCAATATCTGGCACCACCCTTTGGGAACTAAAACAAACCCCAAATGGCGCCACCGGCGCCACCATCGTCATGTTCAACAAAGTGGCAGATTTAATATAGGCTTTTGTGAAGATCCCATAAATGGTGCTCTTCATGGTGGTGTATGGGACGATTGAGCTTATTTTTACCCCTCCAATGGGTTGTAACACCAGTCTCCGGCCGGAAATTTTGATCGAATTTACATTCACATAGTACTGATCCAACCCCCCACCATGGGTCGAGACCAATGGTGTGTAAGATAGAGAGTTGGAGATGCCGGTGCCGGAAATTATAAATCCGTCCGATGAAGATAGACAGATGGTGAACTTTCTGGGAATGTCAAGATTGTTGACAAGTTGAGATTGGAATGCAATTTTTGATCTTCCGAGACCTAACATACCTTTGGCACCATTAACAAGGCCTTTCAGTAGATAATCCGGCGAACAGGAGAACAGAAAGTTGTCGACGGTTGTCAGCAAGCCTATTCCGTCGAAAGTAACTATGTCCTCTGCCAGATCTCCCAAATTGGCGGCGCCGGTGATGGGGTTTTCTTGGTGGATGTCACAGATGGTTGCAGCAGGTATTGTTCTTTGAGCACCGGATTTCGCCATCAAGCACGGCAACGAACCGTAGCTGATAAACTGTCGAGATGAAGACGATGGTGCGCAGTTGACCCAGATAGATTGACCGGAGAGATCAACGACGAGCTTGGTGGGAAATTGGGGAGTACCCATGAGCAATTGGGTGGTGTACTGCAGGGTTTCAACGTCTTTTGTGACAGGAAGAAGAAGAAGAGCGCCATGGAAGAGGGTTGTTTGGGCAGCTAAGCTTTTGATGGTGAGAAGAAAGAGACATAGAAGCGGTTGAAGATGAAAAGCCATGGAAGATTGCGGAGGAGAGACGCGGCGGTGTGTTTGAGAGGAAATCGCATGTGAATAAGGTTTAAGAGGAGAGAAGGCAGTGAATGTTTTCTGCGTATCTGGTGACTAGATATTAATGGCCCACTCGACGCAAAGGAGAGTCATCGGCCTTATCCTCTTTTATTTAGTGGCAGGGGTAAATCGGGCATGTGGATAACATGTTTGAGTTAGGATTGAAAGAAAATGAAGTAAATTATGGATATGGTTTATGTGGAAAGTAGATTTATATGAATTAGGGGACGTTTATTTAAATGTTTATTTGGCAAGTGTTTACAGTAAGAGTTAACACTATAATTTATTTTATCGGATAAGATTGTAATACATCAAAACGTATCATATACAACAATTTACCTGGTAAATGCTTACCCGAGTAAGAGTCATCACCCTCACTTACCGGGTAAGACTCTCTATCCTTATCATCATTTTTACCGGGTAAGGTTCTTGGTTCTTATCATGTTCATCCAGTAAATTTTTTTTCCCAATAAGTATTTACTGGGTATGCGTTAAGTAAACGGCCCATTAAATTTTATTTATTATATACAATGTGTTATAGTATGCATTTTCCGTTGAATTTGGTCTATTGACCAAACGATTATTTATCATATATGTTAAAATAAAAGAAAAAATGGTGTTTTTTTAATTTTAACAATTTTTAAACTAACTTTTTTAAATAAGGGACCAAACTATATACATTGAAACTCACAGGGCCAAAAACAAATTTCTTTTAATATATTATACATACATATGTACAGAAGAGCGATCAAATGAAAACCGCCTTCATTTGTGTAAACCATGTAAACCAATTTCATCCATCCATTTTCTTGATCAATAGTTAAGATTAGTTTAAGTTATATTAGGAAATTAAAAAAAAATTATTTCATAATCCTGAAAAGGGCAAAATGGTAACTTTGATAGAGGAAATATTAATGACAACCATATCATGTATATCATAATATTAATGAAACAAAATCATTTGTAAAATAATATATTAATTTTATGTTCAAATATTATGAAAAAAATAACATTCATCATTAAAATAGATCAACAATAAAAAATAAAACACGCTATAATCAATTTAACATAATGAAACCTTTTGAATAAAAAAAAAATTACTACTACATTTCATGAACGAAATGGTTTCACAGTTTCATCAATACACAAATCAACGTAATGGTAGATGAGACATTGGTCATGTTCAAGTTTCCGGTAGATGGATCCGTTTCAATTTAATTATGAAATGGGTTCACTGTTTGCTAATTAAACAATATGTTCTTAACAATTATGAAATTGTCTCTCTGTTGTTATGCACCCATTTCATCGACAAAGTTTTTGCAATACGAACACGTTTCATAGCGTCAATGCATCTACCATTACAGACTATGTTAACCATTAAGTGAACAAAATCATTTAATAAAAAATAAAAAAATATGAAACAATTTCATCAATAATTACACAGCATTTTCTTAACAATTATGAAATGGTTTCACTTTCTTTATGCACCCATTTCATCAGCCAATTTCTTCCAATAGGAACACGTTTCATAGAGTCAATGCATTTACCATTACATGTTTTGTTAACCATTAAGTGAACAAAATCATTCAAAAAAAAATGAAACAATTTCATCAATAATTGTTGATAAGAAAACAAGATTATGCAAGAATATTATATTACGCAACCAGTTCATTCCCAAAAGTTTCATAAAATAAGCTCCTCAGTGAACGTTTTCACGAACCAATCTGCATACGTTTCATAAAACAAGCTCCTCAATGAACGTTTTCATGAACAAATTTAACATGAATATGTTTCACAGTTGATTATATTTTTATCGGTTCATGAATCTTTGTTTGGATCTGTTACTGATTTCATGGATTAATGAATATAATAATTTTCGATTTTCATATTCTTACCACTAATAAACCGAGAAACCAAATAACATCATTTAATTTTTAAAATTATAATTTAAAAAAAATATTTAAATATTACCATTTCTAAAATTTCATTTATTATGTTAGCATAATTAAGATCTCTTAATAGCTTCCATATTTAATCGAAAACAATGTAAATGACAATTCTACCTTTAATGAGTAAATTTAATTAAGAAGAAAAGAAATTTTTCTATTGGTCGAAATTAATTTACACGGCTTCTATGAATTAGACGGTTTTCATTTGATCCCGCCTCTATATAGATATACGTATATATACATCACTCCAACTCATCGTTCCCTGACCCCCACCCTCTCTCACCATAGACCGGCTTTCGCTACCCCTTCACCTTTCTTTTTCCCCCACGATCACTCAAGGACCACCCTACCTAACCACGGGCACACATAGAAATTAGAACTTTATTGTACTCCGTCGACTTGTACTTAATTCCAATGATCATTCTCACTCGTCTACAGTTCCTCGATCAACCACCAACAACTTTAAAAACACATTCATTTGTAATACTACATCAGAGCATAAAAAGGTAGAGGTGATATTGTGTCTATTTGAGTGTGTTGTGGGTGTGTGTGCATGTGTCAAAGATGGTTCAGGTAGTGTATGGTCGCTCAAAGGTGTCCAAGTGATGTGTGTCAAAGGTTGATGCCAAATATTTGTGAATATAGAGGTGGTTTGGGGTAGGTTTCATGGTGCTGCGAGGTGGGGGGGGGGGAGAGGACGGTGATTCTTTTTTATGCCATGTGTCACTACTTAATTAATGGTTAAAGAAATCAAAAAGACAAACTACAAATTAGACAAAAATTTAATTCAAAAATAAAGTAAAATTAAAATGGCGGAAACGCCCTCAAAATTAACGGAGGAAATGGATGGCTATTTGGTTCAGGGACCAAAACTAAGGGTGTGTTTGGTACGCTGGACAGGGTGGGACAGAACACATTTGTCCTACGTTTGGTGTGGCTTAATGTGGAACTAAGTAGAACTAGGTAGGACAAGAATGAGACACGCTTGTTCTCCTTTACCCCCCTAGAACTAAGTGGAACACAACTTTTTTTACCACACTACCCTTTCCCCACCCGGCTCATCGCATGAAGACCTAACCCCCCTTTCCATCCGCCTCCATCGCTTCCTTCAACTCCATCGGCGGCTTCTAATCGCCGACTTCTAATCGACTTCCAATCGGCGCTTCTCCTCTCTCCATACTCAGGTACGCGACTTCCAGGTACGCGACTTCTAATCGCTGACTTCTCATCCCGATTTCAATCGACTGTTTTAATCGACTTCCAATCGACTTCCTTGTTATTTCGTGCGTACCCAGCTGTTTCAATCGGCTGTTTCCATACTCTTGTTATTTCCTTTTTGCAGAAATTTAACTGTTTTCCCCCTTTTAATCGGCTGTTTCAATCGGCTGTTTCAATGATTCCCCATTTTATATGTATACTTTATATTGGTTTTTAGGTACATAATATATATATATATATATATATATATTATACATAATATATATAAAGTATAAATTTCTGTATACTTTATATATATATTATACATAATATAAAGTATAAATTTCTGTAATTACTCTTTTTTTAGTTTTAATTATAAATAATTGACATTATTAAATGGAGTAAATTATCAAAATATTCAAATATGGTTTTACCAAAACATTGGTTTTGGTTTTCAAATTTCAAAATTACATTAATGACCTTGTGTTTTCCATTTTATACAAATTATAGTCATGCCATTCACGGATGTCTGCGGTTTTCATTAAATGCCCCTCGCGTGATTGGTTTCCATCTTAAGAAGGATTTCGTCCTAACCCCAACGGATGTTAGGTTGTGGGATAGGACCTGACCAAGCATGACATAACAAATTTTGGTGTACCACAATTGGTACGACATTAGACTAAGACAGGACAAGAATAAATTGAGACAAACTGCATATTTTGTCCCACTGTAATAAATGGAACGGAAATCAGGGACATTGAACAAAATTAGTAAATTACTAAACTACACATATCAAATCAAGACACTAAATAACTCATTCATATTATATGTCACTCGTCCGTCCAATCTTGTTTAATCGCATATGTGAACCAGTCACATGCCCCTTACATTCCCCTCACTTGCAAGTCATTAAGATAATTTGGGCATTTCACATGGTTCATATATATAATTGTTGTACTGTATGTTTGGTTTAAAAATCATAATGACCAACTAAGATAAACTCACAACAAGTATATCTCGACACATAATCATACAAAATTCACGACAACTGGTTATCTAATGATTAACAACGTTTGTTATGTTTTTGACATTCATCACAGGTAGCTTCTATAACCGAAGATTAAGGATGAAGGATTCTTCTATTAATTTAAAGATTGTAACCGGCTAACAAGAATTATGAGCCTCATTGAAAGACCCGCTCCTGATATTAATGACATTAAATATCTGGTTGCATCAAGCATATGTATAAATACGAAGAACAAATCATCTCAAAGGACATCATACAATTATGCTTAATTGCTCCCAAAAAAACCTTCGCAGCTAGATTTTATATTCAATTGTTTCTCACGAGTATACATGTTAGTGACATTCTATAATAAGAACAATAGTTATAAAGAACAAAGTCCCTTGTTGAGGTTTATGGTGTATTAATGATATATACAATCATCCACAATTTTTACCCTCGATAGTGTTTTTCGTATCACCAAATATCTGTGTCTATTCTTTTATTGTCTTGAAGGTTCAATCTTTAATTGTTGTCACACTACCTTAATTTGGTTAGTGCATTTTTTGTTGTTGGTAAAAACAGTTTATTAATTTGTAAACCGTATGTGTAAGTCTTCTAAACATTTAAAACAAGAAATTAGACCCTAAACCACAACCCCATCCCCTAAACCAACACTCCAACTGGCGTCTTCACCCCCCTAACTACCCCTACACATATCACCCACAACACCAATGTCTTTTTTGATGTATTCGTGTTTTGTGTTTTGAAAGATTGAAACTTCCTTTTGAACATTACTACAAAATAAATTTTAGTTTGATTGATATCTTTGGTGTTGTTTAATCCTAAATCCATTTTGAATACACAATCTG